CTTTTTGCGGGGCAGCGCAGTGGACACTTCCTTGCCCTAAAGCCCTCTCAGAAATGAGGGGAGGCGTGTGCCCAGCAATGGGATGTATAAAGGCTGTAACTTTAATTTTAACTTTTTTTTACTAATAACTAATTGCAAATGATTCTAGGCACAGTAAAATGCAGCCATAATATGCATTTTATTGAGCACGAATACTAGATAAAGAAGTACATATTTTTGATTATTATGTATTGTAGCGTAAAACAACCAGAGCTAAATTTATTTATGTTGTGTCTCTGCACCGCACACAACTCTACTACTTTCATAGAGACTATTACAATAATTATTCCAGAGGTATTCAAATAAGAAGTTATACTTGCAGGATATTTCTACTACGGATATCCGAAGGAGTTCAATTGCCCAGTTAATAATAATCTTTACTCGTACAATACGGCCTGAGAATCTAATCTCTGTGATGAAACCTTCGACTGCCTTTAACTCATTTCATGAACTTCTAAAATATTCTCAACTTCAGTTTAATAACATTATGTATGAAAAAAAAATGTTAAAAAACAAGTTATCGAACAAAATGGCAATAAGTAATTAAATTTTAATCTTAATATGTATGTGCCATTTTGTTCGATAACTTGTTGCCATCATATAGGTAGAGACATAATCCCATTGCAATAGAAATCTTGGGATTTTTGATCAAAAAATGTGACAAGTAGTTTTGACAGTCCTCTTTTGATGTTAACGTAACACTACCCAAAGAATTCTGAAGAGACTGAAACAGGTGAAAATCGGAGGGTGCAAGGTCAGGTATTTTGCTAATGCATTAACACTTCCCAATCAAACTCCCTATTTTTGCTGAGTGACCAAAGATGTGTGTGGTCTGGCGTTATCATGATGAAAGGCTACTCTAGCTGTTAATCAATTCGAGCTTTTTTCTTAATTTCTTGCTTGGGTTTCCTTAGTTGTTGGCAGTAGAGACCTGAATCGATGGTTTTGCCCGGCGGAATAAGCGATGCCCTTCCGATACCACCATACCTTATTGCGTAGTAATCCGCGTTCGCTACAATGTATGGAGCTTGATTACCCTTTGACCATGATTTTTACCACAAGTTCTTGTCGTAGGTAATCCACTTTTCATCATCAGTGATCAATCTTTTCAAAAATGGATTGGTTTCATTACATTTCAATAGTAATAAATGAGAGCACCATTCATTAGGTTTCTTTAATTGAGCTCGTGTGGTACCTAAATATCGAGCTTTTTTGTATAGCCAGACTTTTTCAAATACGTTAAAACTATTTTGTGGTTAATCCTCAATTCCTTGACTACGTCGTAACTACTTATACGTCGATCTTGCTCCACTTTTCAAAATTATCATCGATTTTATCCATATGAGGGCGACCAGAGCAAGCTTCATCTTTGACATCGAAATTCCCGGATCTTTGACAGCAAAATTGAAAAGCTTGAACCAACTTTGCGCTATATAATCTTACTGACAATGCATTAGGTCCATAACCTTCAAAAAATTTTTTGCAGTTTGAGTCGCATTTTTCCCTTTTTTGTATTAAAACTTCAGAATGTATCGAATTTTTTTCGTTAGATTCATTCATTTTGGCGAACAGTAAAACAATTGAAAATGACAGGAAAGAGTTTTTTTATTTTTCTTAATGTCTTATGTAAAAATGAATACACAATACTTTTCATAAACCCAAATGGATTAGAGAAGATTACTTGCGATTTAAATATTACAGAAATTACTAAAAAAAACTTAAAAAATATATATGAAAAGCGCAAGGAGGAAAAAAAACATTAAAGAGTATGTACAGGGTAGTAGGATTATTTCTAAAGTCTCACAGAAAATTATAAAGGGTGATATTCTAACACGACCCACAACATTACTCAACTTAAAATTAATAACATTACGGTCTCCAATGCGAAAAAAATATGTAACCACTTTACAACTTTTAATGGCTAAACAAAAATCTAGCAGGTATTTATTTCAGTTATAGCAGGTAATTATTTCTGTTAAACTTAATTACAGCCTCATAATACGTTACACTGCTGGGCAGAAGCCTCCTGCCTCCCCTCATTTCTGAGAGTTATGGCGAACTTCACATGTGTTCGAAATATTTTTTTTCTTATTTGTCAGACATGCAGGTTTCCTCACGATGTTTTCCTTCGCCGCCGTCATTGTTTATCGAAATCGAGGGCGGAACCTAGTAAAAATCTAGCTTCTGCCCGCTATTTTCGTTCGCTTGGGACCAACATGAAAATTATTCTACGGGATTCTTATACGGGATGAAAGTACCTATCCTTTGTTTTACCCGGGTCAAGCTCTATTTGTGTGCAAAATTTTATCCAAATCTATCCAGTAGTTTTTACGTAAAAGTCAACGATATTAAATTTAAAAAAATTAAAGTAACCAACATTCAAACTTTCACATTTATAATATTATTAGGAAGTACGATCAAATATTATTTGCTGCGTAAACGTAATACACATAACCCTTCACCGCCGACCACTTAGAAAATCATCACTTAAAATTGCAATTAACAATTTCACTGGTGGCAAACGGCGGGGATTGTACCAAGATTGTTCGCGTACTGTTATTTCAGTGTATTTTCATATCTCTGTATATTTATACTTTAGTATAAAAAGTCTCCCTAAAAAACTCAAACTCATGTAGCTACTCTAATTCTATCCAATATTTACATAAATTTAATGTACTTCACAAGCCATACATACGGGAATTGACATAGTCCTGTCACATCTGATTAATCTATCGTTCGAATCCGCCTGCTTGCCCTTTCTTCGCATTGTCAAAAGTATTTTACTACGTAGCACAGAATATTTTATTTGATAAATTGGGAGTATAACATTGCTGTACGTGGACATGTTGAACTGGATCAAGTATCACCTTGGAAAGGAAACAAAAGGTATTGAATTTACTAATATGGAAATGAATAATATATACCTACATCTTAATGCTCTAGATTGAAAATAAATTAATTTGGCGTACCAAAAAATTCCTAAACTTGTCGATGATAACTAAATACAATTTGCTGATGTAATTTCTATTATAACTGAATCGAAGCCTGAGTAATTGAATGGAAACGACATTAACGAGACGTAAAGAAATTAATCTGAATATTAATTATTTTTTATTATATTAATAATTAACACAGTTCTGAACAAGTGAAAAAAAATTATATTCTTTAGTATAATATTGAATGAAAGTTTAAATTTTACAAATCGTGTACATAAAGCTTGCAATAATATAAGTTGCTTTGTTTATGTTCTTAAAGATTTGTTAAAATTGCAATAATTTCTAGCAGCGTTTTGAACTGAAGTTTTACTGTGCAATTCTAAAAATTTTAAGTATGTCTCGTCCAATCTCAGTTCAATCTCTTTTTATATTATTTTTTTTATTTATAGTTATGGTGCAATATTCCCCGTATTATTTCGGGACATATGTATTCCGCTAACACATACCGGAGCGGCATTTACTGTTCATACATAAGTTACAAAATTGGAAACTATTTAATGTAAAAAAGTAATACATACCGATTACAATATCATAAAAATATTATCTTTTCCGACAACACTTTTAAAAAAAAAGATTTCCGGAGGTGTCACAAAACTAGACGCATTGCATCTTTGATACATTATCTATCATAGGTTATAAAATCTTTCTGGTTATTCCCTCTGTAGACCTACTAGTCTAATGATAATCGTAAACGATAGTCACGGGATGGTTATTTTACATCCCCAAATTTGGATTTTATCCTGTATCGTGGAAGCGTCTTATTTAAATAAATTACACATGGACAAACTTCCAGACTCGGAACAATTATTCACAGGTAATACAAACACTTTTTTATGCTGATTTAGAACTCGCGACCCCGCAACACGTCAACCTAGCGCTTAGTCACTGGGTACCGAGATATTAGGTCATGCTCAGTTTAATTAAGACTGAGATTATTACACCATCACCATTCAGTGGTGACAACATTCATCGTCATTATCATTACAATCCTTCATATGTCCCTAAAAACATAATCAGGATGTAACCTCGGCACGCACGTAGCTCTATCTAGTATGGATACCTGTAAGTGATACTACTTGAGAGACTTTCTTAGCACTTCAGTTGAGTTATTAAAGGAATCTAAAAATATAACTATGTCATATGTTAGAAGGGTACTACTGTAAATAAAACAAACGCATCTACATTTTTCATAAAATTAAATATATTATACATATTCAGAGCAATTAAAAAAGTAAATTTTATGATTTTTTATATTTGGCCTAAAAGTTTTTAAATGTTCTCTTATTAACAAGAAAATACACATTAGACGATGCACTTTTTTCAATTGTAAACACACAAGTCTCTTTTAGAAATTATGCAGCAGTGCACTATTTATTATACTTGTCTATGAACGTTGTCGTAAGCCATGACATGAAGCATCATATCAAACACACATCACACATCTTTCAAACGTGTGAGAAGTTTATGTCAGTTCATTACTTGCATTATAATACCTATTTTTTCACACATTATGTTTTTTAATCTACGGGAATATTACACATTTTAATCCAAATTATTTTACGAACTTCATTATACCATTTAATTTTTATTTATTTTGTACTCGTGATATTTTGAGCTGTTACAGCACCCTTGGCCATTTTTTTTAAAAAAACACCTTGGAATGCTAAAAAAATAAAAAAGATATTTATAGTCTGCAAAAACTGCAATGTTGAAATTATTTCGAATAGCGTGAATAAAAAAAAATCATAAAAGCTAAGTGCGTTTCAGCGCCAAAGAATAGGAAATTTCTTAATTTATTTAGTACTCTTATTAGTTTGTGCTTTAAGAAAAACTGCTAACATGGTGAAGACAGAATACTCGTACATTATAAATAGGTAATACGATAAGGTAAGTGACGCATGTCGTTGTAACGGCGCCTTTAACTGTCGCTAACGCTTGTCGCCGCGCGCCGGCCCTCTCGCGTTATTAATTTTCACTATCACATAAAAGCAACTTTCTTGTCACTAAGGTAGCTACGTCATAACAATGACATTTGTATATTTTGTTACTTTGGTGCTGATTAGTATATTCCGACTCGGTACCCATAATTCGTGCTAGAGCTACGCTGCAGCTGCAGCAGCACGGAGTCGGGAAGTTGGGCGCTGTTTCTCCGAGCCCCGGAACCAACTTTCTTGTCACTAAGGTAGCTACGTCATAACAATGACATTTGTATATTTTGTTACTTTGGTGCTGATTAGTATATTCCGACTCGGTACCCATAATTCGTGGTAGAGCTACGCTGCAGCTGCAGCAGCACGGAGTCGGGAAGTTGGGCGCTGTTTCTCCGAGCCCCGGAACCAACTTTCTTGTCACTAAGGTAGCTACGTCATAACAATGACATTTGTATATTTTGTTACTTTGGTGCTGATTAGTATATTCCGACTCGGTACCCATAATTCGTGCTAGAGCTACGCTGCAGCTGCAGCAGCACGGAGTCGGGAAGTTGGGCGCTGTTTCTCCGAGCCCCGGAACCAACTTTCTTGTCAGTAAGGTAGCTACGTCATAACAATGACATTTGTATATTTTGTTACTTTGGTGCTGATTAGTATATTCCGACTCGGTACCCATAATTCGTGGTAGAGCTACGCTGCAGCTGCAGCAGCACGGAGTCGGGAAGTTGGGCGCTGTTTCTCCGAGCCCCGGAACCAACTTTCTTGTCACTAAGGTAGCTACGTCATAACAATGACATTTGTATATTTTGTTACTTTGGTGCTGATTAGTATATTCCGACTCGGTACCCATAATTCGTGGTAGAGCTACGCTGCAGCTGCAGCAGCACGGAGTCGGGAAGTTGGGCGCTGTTTCTCCGAGCCCCGGAACCAACTTTCTTGTCAGTAAGGTAGCTACGTCATAACAATGACATTTGTATATTTTGTTACTTTGGTGCTGATTAGTATATTCCGACTCGGTACCCATAATTCGTGGTAGAGCTACGCTGCAGCTGCAGCAGCACGGAGTCGGGAAGTTGGGCGCTGTTTCTCCGAGCCCCGGAACCAACTTTCTTGTCACTAAGGTAGCTACGTCATAACAATGACATTTGTATATTTTGTTACTTTGGTGCTGATTAGTATATTCCGACTCGGTACCCATAATTCGTGGTAGAGCTACGCTGCAGCTGCAGCAGCACGGAGTCGGGAAGTTGGGCGCTGTTTCTCCGAGCCCCGGAACCAACTTTCTTGTCAGTAAGGTAGCTACGTCATAACAATGACATTTGTATATTTTGTTACTTTGGTGCTGATTAGTATATTCCGACTCGGTACCCATAATTCGTGGTAGAGCTACGCTGCAGCTGCAGCAGCACGGAGTCGGGAAGTTGGGCGCTGTTTCTCCGAGCCCCGGAACCAACTTTCTTGTCAGTAAGGTAGCTACGTCATAACAATGACATTTGTATATTTTGTTACTTTGGTGCTGATTAGTATATTCCGACTCGGTACCCATAATTCGTGGTAGAGCTACGCTGCAGCTGCAGCAGCACGGAGTCGGGAAGTTGGGCGCTGTTTCTCCGAGCCCCGGAACCAACTTTCTTGTCAGTAAGGTAGCTACGTCATAACAATGACATTTGTATATTTTGTTACTTTGGTGCTGATTAGTATATTCCGACTCGGTACCCATAATTCGTGGTAGAGCTACGCTGCAGCTGCAGCAGCACGGAGTCGGGAAGTTGGGCGCTGTTTCTCCGAGCCCCGGAACCAACTTTCTTGTCAGTAAGGTAGCTACGTCATAACAATGACATTTGTATATTTTGTTACTTTGGTGCTGATTAGTATATTCCGACTCGGTACCCATAATTCGTGGTAGAGCTACGCTGCAGCTGCAGCAGCACGGAGTCGGGAAGTTGGGCGCTGTTTCTCCGAGCCCCGGAACCAACTTTCTTGTCACTAAGGTAGCTACGTCATAACAATGACATTTGTATATTTTGTTACTTTGGTGCTGATTAGTATATTCCGACTCGGTACCCATAATTCGTGGTAGAGCTACGCTGCAGCTGCAGCAGCACGGAGTCGGGAAGTTGGGCGCTGTTTCTCCGAGCCCCGGAACCAACTTTCTTGTCAGTAAGGTAGCTACGTCATAACAATGACATTTGTATATTTTGTTACTTTGGTGCTGATTAGTATATTCCGACTCGGTACCCATAATTCGTGGTAGAGCTACGCTGCAGCTGCAGCAGCACGGAGTCGGGAAGTTGGGCGCTGTTTCTCCGAGCCCCGGAACCAACTTTCTTGTCAGTAAGGTAGCTACGTCATAACAATGACATTTGTATATTTTGTTACTTTGGTGCTGATTAGTATATTCCGACTCGGTACCCATAATTCGTGGTAGAGCTACGCTGCAGCTGCAGCAGCACGGAGTCGGGAAGTTGGGCGCTGTTTCTCCGAGCCCCGGAACCAACTTTCTTGTCACTAAGGTAGCTACGTCATAACAATGACATTTGTATATTTTGTTACTTTGGTGCTGATTAGTATATTCCGACTCGGTACCCATAATTCGTGGTAGAGCTACGCTGCAGCTGCAGCAGCACGGAGTCGGGAAGTTGGGCGCTGTTTCTCCGAGCCCCGGAACCAACTTTCTTGTCACTAAGGTAGCTACGTCATAACAATGACATTTGTATATTTTGTTACTTTGGTGCTGATTAGTATATTCCGACTCGGTACCCATAATTCGTGGTAGAGCTACGCTGCAGCTGCAGCAGCACGGAGTCGGGAAGTTGGGCGCTGTTTCTCCGAGCCCCGGAACCAACTTTCTTGTCACTAAGGTAGCTACGTCATAACAATGACATTTGTATATTTTGTTACTTTGGTGCTGATTAGTATATTCCGACTCGGTACCCATAATTCGTGCTAGAGCTACGCTGCAGCTGCAGCAGCACGGAGTCGGGAAGTTGGGCGCTGTTTCTCCGAGCCCCGGAACCAACTTTCTTGTCAGTAAGGTAGCTACGTCATAACAATGACATTTGTATATTTTGTTACTTTGGTGCTGATTAGTATATTCCGACTCGGTACCCATAATTCGTGCTAGAGCTACGCTGCAGCTGCAGCAGCACGGAGTCGGGAAGTTGGGCGCTGTTTCTCCGAGCCCCGGAACCAACTTTCTTGTCACTAAGGTAGCTACGTCATAACAATGACATTTGTATATTTTGTTACTTTGGTGCTGATTAGTATATTCCGACTCGGTACCCATAATTCGTGGTAGAGCTACGCTGCAGCTGCAGCAGCACGGAGTCGGGAAGTTGGGCGCTGTTTCTCCGAGCCCCGGAACCAACTTTCTTGTCAGTAAGGTAGCTACGTCATAACAATGACATTTGTATATTTTGTTACTTTGGTGCTGATTAGTATATTCCGACTCGGTACCCATAATTCGTGGTAGAGCTACGCTGCAGCTGCAGCAGCACGGAGTCGGGAAGTTGGGCGCTGTTTCTCCGAGCCCCGGAACCAACTTTCTTGTCACTAAGGTAGCTACGTCATAACAATGACATTTGTATATTTTGTTACTTTGGTGCTGATTAGTATATTCCGACTCGGTACCCATAATTCGTGGTAGAGCTACGCTGCAGCTGCAGCAGCACGGAGTCGGGAAGTTGGGCGCTGTTTCTCCGAGCCCCGGAACCAACTTTCTTGTCAGTAAGGTAGCTACGTCATAACAATGACATTTGTATATTTTGTTACTTTGGTGCTGATTAGTATATTCCGACTCGGTACCCATAATTCGTGGTAGAGCTACGCTGCAGCTGCAGCAGCACGGAGTCGGGAAGTTGGGCGCTGTTTCTCCGAGCCCCGGAACCAACTTTCTTGTCAGTAAGGTAGCTACGTCATAACAATGACATTTGTATATTTTGTTACTTTGGTGCTGATTAGTATATTCCGACTCGGTACCCATAATTCGTGGTAGAGCTACGCTGCAGCTGCAGCAGCACGGAGTCGGGAAGTTGGGCGCTGTTTCTCCGAGCCCCGGAACCAACTTTCTTGTCAGTAAGGTAGCTACGTCATAACAATGACATTTGTATATTTTGTTACTTTGGTGCTGATTAGTATATTCCGACTCGGTACCCATAATTCGTGGTAGAGCTACGCTGCAGCTGCAGCAGCACGGAGTCGGGAAGTTGGGCGCTGTTTCTCCGAGCCCCGGAACCAACTTTCTTGTCAGTAAGGTAGCTACGTCATAACAATGACATTTGTATATTTTGTTACTTTGGTGCTGATTAGTATATTCCGACTCGGTACCCATAATTCGTGGTAGAGCTACGCTGCAGCTGCAGCAGCACGGAGTCGGGAAGTTGGGCGCTGTTTCTCCGAGCCCCGGAACCAACTTTCTTGTCAGTAAGGTAGCTACGTCATAACAATGACATTTGTATATTTTGTTACTTTGGTGCTGATTAGTATATTCCGACTCGGTACCCATAATTCGTGGTAGAGCTACGTCCGCAGCTGCAGCAGCACGGAGTCGGGAAGTTGGGCGCTGTTTCTCCGAGCCCCCGGAACCAACTTTCTTGTCACTAAGGTAGCTACGTCATAACAATGACATTTGTATATTTTGTTACTTTGGTGCTGATTAGTATATTCCGACTCGGTACCCATAATTCGTGCTAGAGCTACGCTGCAGCTGCAGCAGCACGGAGTCGGGAAGTTGGGCGCTGTTTCTCCGAGCCCCGGAACCAACTTTCTTGTCAGTAAGGTAGCTACGTCATAACAATGACATTTGTATATTTTGTTACTTTGGTGCTGATTAGTATATTCCGACTCGGTACCCATAATTCGTGGTAGAGCTACGCTGCAGCTGCAGCAGCACGGAGTCGGGAAGTTGGGCGCTGTTTCTCCGAGCCCCGGAACCAACTTTCTTGTCACTAAGGTAGCTACGTCATAACAATGACATTTGTATATTTTGTTACTTTGGTGCTGATTAGTATATTCCGACTCGGTACCCATAATTCGTGGTAGAGCTACGCTGCAGCTGCAGCAGCACGGAGTCGGGAAGTTGGGCGCTGTTTCTCCGAGCCCCGGAACCAACTTTCTTGTCAGTAAGGTAGCTACGTCATAACAATGACATTTGTATATTTTGTTACTTTGGTGCTGATTAGTATATTCCGACTCGGTACCCATAATTCGTGGTAGAGCTACGCTGCAGCTGCAGCAGCACGGAGTCGGGAAGTTGGGCGCTGTTTCTCCGAGCCCCGGAACCAACTTTCTTGTCACTAAGGTAGCTACGTCATAACAATGACATTTGTATATTTTGTTACTTTGGTGCTGATTAGTATATTCCGACTCGGTACCCATAATTCGTGGTAGAGCTACGCTGCAGCTGCAGCAGCACGGAGTCGGGAAGTTGGGCGCTGTTTCTCCGAGCCCCGGAACCAACTTTCTTGTCACTAAGGTAGCTACGTCATAACAATGACATTTGTATATTTTGTTACTTTGGTGCTGATTAGTATATTCCGACTCGGTACCCATAATTCGTGCTAGAGCTACGCTGCAGCTGCAGCAGCACGGAGTCGGGAAGTTGGGCGCTGTTTCTCCGAGCCCCGGAACCAACTTTCTTGTCACTAAGGTAGCTACGTCATAACAATGACATTTGTATATTTTGTTACTTTGGTGCTGATTAGTATATTCCGACTCGGTACCCATAATTCGTGCTAGAGCTACGCTGCAGCTGCAGCAGCACGGAGTCGGGAAGTTGGGCGCTGTTTCTCCGAGCCCCGGAACCAACTTTCTTGTCACTAAGGTAGCTACGTCATAACAATGACATTTGTATATTTTGTTACTTTGGTGCTGATTAGTATATTCCGACTCGGTACCCATAATTCGTGCTAGAGCTACGCTGCAGCTGCAGCAGCACGGAGTCGGGAAGTTGGGCGCTGTTTCTCCGAGCCCCGGAACCAACTTTCTTGTCAGTAAGGTAGCTACGTCATAACAATGACATTTGTATATTTTGTTACTTTGGTGCTGATTAGTATATTCCGACTCGGTACCCATAATTCGTGGTAGAGCTACGCTGCAGCTGCAGCAGCACGGAGTCGGGAAGTTGGGCGCTGTTTCTCCGAGCCCCGGAACCAACTTTCTTGTCACTAAGGTAGCTACGTCATAACAATGACATTTGTATATTTTGTTACTTTGGTGCTGATTAGTATATTCCGACTCGGTACCCATAATTCGTGCTAGAGCTACGCTGCAGCTGCAGCAGCACGGAGTCGGGAAGTTGGGCGCTGTTTCTCCGAGCCCCGGAACCAACTTTCTTGTCACTAAGGTAGCTACGTCATAACAATGACATTTGTATATTTTGTTACTTTGGTGCTGATTAGTATATTCCGACTCGGTACCCATAATTCGTGGTAGAGCTACGCTGCAGCTGCAGCAGCACGGAGTCGGGAAGTTGGGCGCTGTTTCTCCGAGCCCCGGAACCAACTTTCTTGTCACTAAGGTAGCTACGTCATAACAATGACATTTGTATATTTTGTTACTTTGGTGCTGATTAGTATATTCCGACTCGGTACCCATAATTCGTGCTAGAGCTACGCTGCAGCTGCAGCAGCACGGAGTCGGGAAGTTGGGCGCTGTTTCTCCGAGCCCCGGAACCAACTTTCTTGTCACTAAGGTAGCTACGTCATAACAATGACATTTGTATATTTTGTTACTTTGGTGCTGATTAGTATATTCCGACTCGGTACCCATAATTCGTGCTAGAGCTACGCTGCAGCTGCAGCAGCACGGAGTCGGGAAGTTGGGCGCTGTTTCTCCGAGCCCCGGAACCAACTTTCTTGTCACTAAGGTAGCTACGTCATAACAATGACATTTGTATATTTTGTTACTTTGGTGCTGATTAGTATATTCCGACTCGGTACCCATAATTCGTGGTAGAGCTACGCTGCAGCTGCAGCAGCACGGAGTCGGGAAGTTGGGCGCTGTTTCTCCGAGCCCCGGAACCAACTTTCTTGTCACTAAGGTAGCTACGTCATAACAATGACATTTGTATATTTTGTTACTTTGGTGCTGATTAGTATATTCCGACTCGGTACCCATAATTCGTGGTAGAGCTACGCTGCAGCTGCAGCAGCACGGAGTCGGGAAGTTGGGCGCTGTTTCTCCGAGCCCCGGAACCAACTTTCTTGTCACTAAGGTAGCTACGTCATAACAATGACATTTGTATATTTTGTTACTTTGGTGCTGATTAGTATATTCCGACTCGGTACCCATAATTCGTCGGTAGAGCTACGCTGCAGCTGCAGCAGCACGGAGTCGGGAAGTTGGGCGCTGTTTCTCCGAGCCCCGGAACCAACTTTCTTGTCACTAAGGTAGCTACGTCATAACAATGACATTTGTATATTTTGTTACTTTGGTGCTGATTAGTATATTCCGACTCGGTACCCATAATTCGTGCTAGAGCTACGCTGCAGCTGCAGCAGCACGGAGTCGGGAAGTTGGGCGCTGTTTCTCCGAGCCCCGGAACCAACTTTCTTGTCACTAAGGTAGCTACGTCATAACAATGACATTTGTATATTTTGTTACTTTGGTGCTGATTAGTATATTCCGACTCGGTACCCATAATTCACTGGTAGAGCTATACACGCTGCAGCTGCAGCAGCACGGAGTCGGGAAGTTGGGCGCTGTTTCTCCGAGCCCCGGAACCAACTTTCTTGTCACTAAGGTAGCTACGTCATAACAATGACATTTGTATATTTTGTTACTTTGGTGCTGATTAGTATATTCCGACTCGGTACCCATAATTCGTGGTAGAGCTACGCTGCAGCTGCAGCAGCACGGAGTCGGGAAGTTGGGCGCTGTTTCTCCGAGCCCCGGAACCAACTTTCTTGTCAGTAAGGTAGCTACGTCATAACAATGACATTTGTATATTTTGTTACTTTGGTGCTGATTAGTATATTCCGACTCGGTACCCAGACTTCGTGGTCAGAGCTACGCTGCAGCTGCAGCAGCACGGAGTCGGGAAGTTGGGCGCTGTTTCTCCGAGCCCCGGAACCAACTTTCTTGTCACTAAGGTAGCTACGTCATAACAATGACATTTGTATATTTTGTTACTTTGGTGCTGATTAGTATATTCCGACTCGGTACCCATAATTCGTGGTAGAGCTACGCTGCAGCTGCAGCAGCACGGAGTCGGGAAGTTGGGCGCTGTTTCTCCGAGCCCCGGAACCAACTTTCTTGTCACTAAGGTAGCTACGTCATAACAATGACATTTGTATATTTTGTTACTTTGGTGCTGATTAGTATATTCCGACTCGGTACCCATAATTCGTGGTAGAGCTACGCTGCAGCTGCAGCAGCACGGAGTCGGGAAGTTGGGCGCTGTTTCTCCGAGCCCCGGAACCAACTTTCTTGTCACTAAGGTAGCTACGTCATAACAATGACATTTGTATATTTTGTTACTTTGGTGCTGATTAGTATATTCCGACTCGGTACCCATAATTCGTGGTAGAGCTACGCTGCAGCTGCAGCAGCACGGAGTCGGGAAGTTGGGCGCTGTTTCTCCGAGCCCCGGAACCAACTTTCTTGTCACTAAGGTAGCTACGTCATAACAATGACATTTGTATATTTTGTTACTTTGGTGCTGATTAGTATATTCCGACTCGGTACCCATAATTCGTGCTAGAGCTACGCTGCAGCTGCAGCAGCACGGAGTCGGGAAGTTGGGCGCTGTTTCTCCGAGCCCCGGAACCAACTTTCTTGTCACTAAGGTAGCTACGTCATAACAATGACATTTGTATATTTTGTTACTTTGGTGCTGATTAGTATATTCCGACTCGGTACCCATAATTCGTGGTAGAGCTACGCTGCAGCTGCAGCAGCACGGAGTCGGGAAGTTGGGCGCTGTTTCTCCGAGCCCCGGAACCAACTTTCTTGTCACTAAGGTAGCTACGTCATAACAATGACATTTGTATATTTTGTTACTTTGGTGCTGATTAGTATATTCCGACTCGGTACCCATAATTCGTGGTAGAGCTACGCTGCAGCTGCAGCAGCACGGAGTCGGGAAGTTGGGCGCTGTTTCTCCGAGCCCCGGAACCAACTTTCTTGTCACTAAGGTAGCTACGTCATAACAATGACATTTGTATATTTTGTTACTTTGGTGCTGATTAGTATATTCCGACTCGGTACCCATAATTCGTGCTAGAGCTACGCTGCAGCTGCAGCAGCACGGAGTCGGGAAGTTGGGCGCTGTTTCTCCGAGCCCCGGAACCAACTTTCTTGTCACTAAGGTAGCTACGTCATAACAATGACATTTGTATATTTTGTTACTTTGGTGCTGATTAGTATATTCCGACTCGGTACCCATAATTCGTGGTAGAGCTACGCTGCAGCTGCAGCAGCACGGAGTCGGGAAGTTGGGCGCTGTTTCTCCGAGCCCCGGAACCAACTTTCTTGTCACTAAGGTAGCTACGTCATAACAATGACATTTGTATATTTTGTTACTTTGGTGCTGATTAGTATATTCCGACTCGGTACCCATAATTCGTGCTAGAGCTACGCTGCAGCTGCAGCAGCACGGAGTCGGGAAGTTGGGCGCTGTTTCTCCGAGCCCCGGAACCAACTTTCTTGTCACTAAGGTAGCTACGTCATAACAATGACATTTGTATATTTTGTTACTTTGGTGCTGATTAGTATATTCCGACTCGGTACCCATAATTCGTGGTAGAGCTACGCTGCAGCTGCAGCAGCACGGAGTCGGGAAGTTGGGCGCTGTTTCTCCGAGCCCCGGAACCAACTTTCTTGTCACTAAGGTAGCTACGTCATAACAATGACATTTGTATATTTTGTTACTTTGGTGCTGATTAGTATATTCCGACTCGGTACCCATAATTCGTGGTAGAGCTACGCTGCAGCTGCAGCAGCACGGAGTCGGGAAGTTGGGCGCTGTTTCTCCGAGCCCCGGAACAAACGTAAAGTTGTTGATCCTGTGCCAGATTTTATCCGATCGTGTCAGATTTTCGTCCCATCAAACTGTGAGAGTGAGGATACAGAGACTGAAACCTGTGCTTGCGCAAACACACGTAAACTGACGTTCATACAATCTTCGTCTTCATTTATGTATACTGTCACCCATTGATTTAATGATTTGTGACCATTTAAAATAAATTAAATAAAAAGCTTATAAGTTTAAATGATAAGGAAGATTTTTTCTGTTCACTTCTAAAAGTTTTAAGTGATGTTCATTTATTGGAACAAAAACAACCTTCTTAGCTTTATGTTTTATGTGGATGTCATGTAATGAGACCCGCAGTGAATTGATCTTTGATTTGGAATAATTAATTATGCAAGATCTACAAGTTGCACTGGTGATAAGTGTTGGTACTAAGAACAAATTACCCAACATATATTAAAGTATCCACATATTGCAATAGATTTTCTTCTATTTATTAAGTTTAAGGTAAAATTTCATCCAAAATTTTTTTCAGCATTGTCGTACGTGGAAAGAGTGTCTCTAAACACTAACAACAATGAGGTGCTCTCTGTCATTTCTACAGTTATCTCAACTCAAAAGAAGTTCACAATATCAATACGTTATTTACACGTGCGTTTAAATCTGATAGAGCAAACTAGGCTGCTTTGGCTGCAGCTATATATTACGGTTGTAGCACGAATGGGTCGGCTCGACCGGGGAAAGACCACGTTCCCATATAAAAACTTTAGGCTGCTATTTTTCGTATGGTAAACGTATAAAACCGTAAACATGCTTTTTGGAAAAGAGGCATTCCATCTTTGTGCTTAGAGGATACAACATATCTGTAACTTCATCCTTAAACGAGGATAGATTTAGATGTCTGATGAACCTTATTCTAAAAAAAAAAAAAAAACATAATACTAATTTATTGTTATTAAGGAGCCACCACGTAATTTATTCCTCTGTTGAAGGAATTGAGTTGTATTGTAACTTCCACCTTCTTTCCGGAGGTTTCCTTTTTTAAAAAAACAAAAAAATTTGGCCTATTGCTCAGCTCCTAAAATGAATAGCCTGACAGTATTTACTCAGATTACTCTTTAGACTTCTAAGTAAACATTACAGTGAACGTCCCATCTTAATCAGTTTTCAGGTTTTTGCATGATTCTTGTTCAGACAGACAGACAAACAGAGTGACAACTTTTTAAAAATTTAAATTAAACGAGTTCCCCGAAAAAAAAAAAAACACCGGTACCGCCCACCTCATAAAAATGCAATCTGTGGGGGAGCTATATGTTCAGCACTGGCTTATTAATAGGCTGTAATGATAGAAATGATGAAACATGTTCGACTTATGCATTATTCCACAAAAGCCACAAAATCTTTAATACTTTCGTTCTTTTCTATATTAAATTAAATACCATATAATTAATTATGCGTTTGAATTTTATTTCTTTTTAGTTTCTCTAAATTATTACAAAACAAAACAATTTAACTTTCATTATTACACATAATACGAAATAACCTTTTTATTCCTTCGATACGGCCATATACCACTCAACGACGACAAGTAATTTTCTTTATAACTCACGTTGTGAAATATGAGGGTCGTTTGTAAACGCAAAAAATAAAAACTTCAACGCTTTATCATCCACGAAATCTCAATAACGAGCAGCTCAAATAATTCAATATATACATTACTTATTTCATAAAAAGGAAAATTAATGAATCTTATATCAAAGCAATAAAAGAAAGTTAATACGGTACACATATCATTGCCAATTTTACTAACTCGCTTGATTATCAATTCCTAAGTCGATTTAAATTACATTGTTAAAGCTTCGCACGCCATATGTATTCGTATTTAGAAATAATGCTGCGTATGTATTTAGGAGTATCTGATGCAACTTGGGTGGTCCACCGTGGGCTGTTTGCGCTGTGGAACAGAATAAGGCCGAGATTTGTACGATATCTCAGTCGGCCGAATAAAATCGGAATAGATAGCGAGCACTCTCTGCCGTCGCATCAAATCTAGTGCACCGACGCGTCTAGATTTTCTGCGTCACGTTCTCGTGCAGGCGGCGTTGTGATAAATTGAGGTGAAGAAGTTAACCAGTTAGGTACAGATTAACATTATTGTACCCATTTTGATCTTATGGAATGAAGCGGGGAAACGATATATATATATATATATATATATATATATATATATATATATATATATATATATATTGTGTGTGTGTGTGTGTGTGTGCGTGCGTGCGTGCGTGCGTGCGTTGTGTGTGTGTGTGTGTGTGTGTGTGTGTAGTACATATTTATATCTATAACCAATTATGTAAGCACTAAGAAAGTTATTAAGCTTTATCAAAAAAATAATGTAAGGCAAAAGACATCAACGATTCATAAACTCGTATTATTATTTGTCTAAATTAAAATATTTTTAAAATTAAAGAAATTATACGAAAATAACATATAAATTTTAGATCCCTTCGTTGTCATTTGTTTATTATAGACCAATAACTCATTAGTACTACCATAATTTAGGTAATTATAATAATATTTTATAATAAATCGTAACAAAAGAAAAGATGATAAGTAGTATATAATAATATCAGTTACAATTTTAACGATAACTTTTACAATACGAGTAATCTACACGAAATAAATATAAAAAAAGTATACGGAAGTTGAGTTTGTATAAAGTGAAAGGAAGTCTTAACATTTTGATCTGATGACTGAAACTTTTAAACACAAATTTAAGTACTATATTTCAACAGTGTTAGAAAACTCTGTAAGAAAACCTAAATGTATGTTATCTATCCATACTTCATGGACATTTTGTCTGGTGAACCAATAGCAAGGATTTAAAAAAAATTAAGGTCACAAACAAGCACACTGTCAACCTGATGGTAAGCGGATGTTATGGCTCATAGACGCCTCTATCGATATCCACCCTCGATTAAAATGCAGATGCGTTGTCATCACTGAGAACTGATAGGAAATACCTCAATATAAGTAAAAAGGGTCAACGCTTTTTGTCACTCATTATACAAAACGTAACAGCATTATACTGCTATTTCGCGCTAGAATCATGTGCGAGTATGGTCTTTTCCCCGGTCGAGCTGACCTATATATGTTACAACCGTGATATGCCACAGCATGATTCTACATACATAAGCGTAACCGATTGTACTTTTTTGTTCCTTACTTTCTTTCAAATTGACGTATCAGCTCCGGCAGAAAACATCGCATTTTAATTGTGAAGCCTTTGTTAAATATACAAATAAACTTTAATTTAAAAATTGTATTAGCGTTACTTGTATATGTATTTATTCAGTATACAAATAAAGTAAATCTAATAAAAACACTGTTTACTAAAAAAAACTCACTTAATAGAACTAAAAAAGTAATAAATCGGTAAAAATTAGCACGCTGTAAAACAGCGGTTGACGGGCTTCATATATGTACATATAATGTCGACATTTCATATAAAATTTACTTAAGTTGACAAACATTTCCTCAGAATATTCTCTTTATGTTATGTTCAGAGAATTGTAATTAACACTAGAGTAAGCTCTCACTTTGCTCTCTGCAATAAAAATACAACAGTTGACTCCTGGCCTACTACAACTTAATACTGTATTATAAATATTGTATACAGTAGGTGGTCTGAATTTAATTTAATACATAAGGACTTGCTCCTCACTTATAAGATCCAACTTGAACGGATTTCAAAGCACGCGCGAGCGCAAGTTTGCATCAATGCATGGATCCATCAAACGTGCAAAGTACATACAATGTTGGTGTTATGACATTATCATTCCAAGTAGTTTGCATTATTAGATTGCATCGTCATTGTAAGTTTCTGAAGGGTATAGAGAGACATTATTATTACAGTAATAGTCTAATTCGTCAGAGGTGACAACGTATTTGTAGCATTTTTTGTTTGAAGTTATATGTGTCGATCGATTGAAGTAGCCGCTTACCGTCGGATAGACTATAAGTTGGTCACTTCTATGTTATGTTCTGTAAACAGTACGCCGAACTCATATTACCTCAACGAATATCAAATTTTAGTCACTATTATAAGGCATATTCAGTTCTTTTTTCATTATCATTCCCTCTGTCGTTAGTATTAAGTTAAACGAACAAGTTGTAATTAACTTCACAAAACTAAAATTTCCAAAATAAGTACCTATATTTTACAGTTATCTGTTTTTTTTTCAAACTCGTTTAAAAATAATACACGACAAAATCATAAATGTATCCATTGTAAAGCTAACCTACCTAATTCTTCATACGTAGACTGACATACCAGTCCCCCTAATTATGGACCCTAGTAACTTTTACGAGCTCCTAGGCAATGCATAAAGCCTTCTCGATGACCTTCCGAGAACCGTAGAGACCACCCGCAACGAAATTATTAGGGTCCCGTCACAAGAGCGACATCTTTATCAACGATATTCTATCGTAATACTTAACAACGTGTTAATATTACAGAACGAAAATCACTTTTATTTAATAACATATACTCTTATTGACATATTTTTTAAACTTGATTTAGATTTAACAAAATCGCTAATCCTGAAAACTTTGCAGGTATACCAGCAACTATTGCTGCCATAACGGCATATGAGGAGCAAACTTGGTAAGTTTAACTAAAACTTGTATGTTAGTAGTGCGACGGACTATTTATTCCGTTACAATCTCAGAAATGAGAGGAGACGTAGGCCCAGAAGTGAAACGTACCTAAATTGGTTGTAACTTATAGTAATACTAGCTGACCAAGCAGACGTTTTTCTGCCCTATCCGAAGACCCTCTGTCATATGAAAAATAATTAGATTCGAAATTATATACGTCGAGGGCATCGGTCCCTAACATTAGATTCGTAATAATACACATCGAGGGCATCGAATAC